TAATATCAAACTGATGAAGTGGCCAATGGTGAATGGCAGCCATAGCAAGAAATAGACAAACAAATGTGATCTTGGCCACTGGGGAAAAAGTGTCCCCATAATCGAGACCAAAAATCTGAGTATAGCCCTTAGTCACCAAAAGAGCTTTGAATTGATCAATATCTCTATTCAGTCTAATCTTCAATGTATAAACCCAATGACAACCAATTGTATTCTTGCCATGAGGCAAAGGAACTAGTTCCCAGGTTTCACTTGCATGTAAGGCAACCATTTGGTCTAACATTGCTTGTTGCCAATGGGGATTGGCCATGGTTTCACTTGTAGACTTAGGAATAGACACAAAATCCAAAGAAGAGATAAAAGAGAAATATGAAAATAACCAGTCATAAGAAAGAGTACAAACATATAAAGGGTGAGGATTACAAGAGGACCGAATTCCTTTCCGTAGAGTGATGGGAAGCTCAAGGGCAGAAGACATTGGTGGAGGGGTGTTTGGACCAAGAGGTGATGCTGGGGGATTTGTGGGTGGAATCAACATGAATGGTTAGAATCATCATTGATATGTAAGTAGTGGCAGGGGGGGATCGATGTTGGTACATGTGGATCATCCAAAAAAAAATAATGGAGTGTCGTCGACATAGAAGGAAGGAGTTGACTCAAAGAAAGTGTCATCAATAGTGACAAAATATTGTTGTAGTTGAGGGCAAAAACAACAATATCCTTTTTGAAGGCGAGAGTAACCAAGAAACACATTTAAGTGACTCTGCAAAAAGTTCTTTTTTACCAAGAGTTAGGTCATGGATAAAATAAGTGCATCTGAAGTCTCGAGGAGAAACATGGTGAAGGTCCTGTAGAGGGTACAAAATGGAGTACAAAATTTGATTTTGGAGGACAGGCAAGGACATGTGGTTGATAAGATAACATGCTATCAGAAGCACATCACCTTAAAAGCGAAGATGAACATTATAGTGAAGAAGGGTATGATGAGTTGTTTCAAATAGGTGACGACTTTTTCCTTTAACAACACTATTTGTTGTGTGTGAGCACATGGCGTTTGATGGATAATTCCCTACGAGGTTAGAAAAGAATTAAATTGGGAAGAAACATATTCTCTAGCATTATCAGTTCATAAAACTTTAATGGAAGTCCCAAACTAATTTGAAATTTCATGCGAGAAATTGTGAAAAATAGAGAAAACATCATAACTATTTTTCATTAAGAAAACCCGAGTATAACAAGAAAAATCATCAATAAATGTAACAAAATAGTAATATCCTTAAGTTGAACAAACATGACCAGAGCCTCAAATATCAAAGTGAACTAAGGTAAAAGTTACACAACACTTTTATTGACACGAGGATTATAGGAATGACAAATATGTTTTCCTAACTGATATAACTCACTATAAAGACTCAAGTGTAGATAGACTAGGAATCAAAAGAAGCAATTTTTCCAAACTGGGATGACCTAGATTTGATGGGCAATATTTGTGGAGGTAGTGGAGACACAATTGTGTCGAAAGTTGATAGCTCCAATTGTTTGTTCGATATGTTGATCCTAAACAAGAACAAAATGATTAACTAACAAGACAAAGAAGTTAAGTGAGCAAGTGAGCTTGCTAATTGAAATTAAATTGAAAGGACAACCAGAAACAAGGACGTCATAGTCAAGTATCTAGGAACCAAGAGAGGAGGATTGAGAGATAAAGACTACAAGATTACCAAACTGTGCCATGGAAGTAACAAGCAAGGCAAGTTGTTGAGCTACCTGAAATTGGAGAAAATTACCATAGTCAACGACTTAAATAGTAACTTCCTTAGGTGGGGCAGGAGCAAAGACTTGGACCACATTAGTTGATTTTGATTGTTCTCTAATTTTGGTACAACATTCCACTCCAATGTGGCTATATTGATTACAATAATTGCAACAAAGGTGACTTTTGCCACCATGTCCCCCGTTGCGTCAACCACGATGAGAGGAGTGTGAGACAAGGGCTGGGAATCTGTAGAAAAGGCAAAAGGTTGTCCAAAAGCATGTGGAGTAGAGAGGTGCAATAGTTGTTCACTAATCATGTCATAGGAAGGAACAATAGGGCATGAGAGTATTTGATTACACATCGAATCAAGGTGGGAGACTAGCAAGAGAAAGAATCATGAAGATTTGGCTACACTGCTGGCAAAATGTCTCTAGTAAAAGGCACTAGATTGGCATAATCAACAATCAAATGGTCAAGCTTACCAAGATCCATATTCTTAAGTTTGGTGGATATCATAGCAATTACCACGCTAAAGAGACGATGGATATCATTGGAGTAGACCTTCTTGGCATTGTCCAAACCTCTTAGCATGTTGGAATCACTTGATATTGAGGTTGAAGGATGGAAGCAATAGAACACCAAAGAACGCTGCATAAAGAAGCGCAAATTTGCTGCCAACAGGTTCCATTCGTGGATGGAATATCCGTGGATCGGGTGGTCAAGTGGTTGGTAGTGACACGACCTTGACCTAGGAACCATAGCTGGGCAGTGCTTCCTAGGTATTGTAGTTTGCTATTCCAGTCAACTTTTCACATGAAATCAGCAGGAGATTCGTAAACGTTGCAACAAAGTCAAGGTTGGAAGCAAATCCAGTGGAGGCCATGAAAATTTTGCCAAACAGGGCCTGGTAGTAACGAGTGGGTAATCCTGAATCTGTGCAGGTGTGTGAATTTGACACGCTGGAAAAAATTGGCTTGTGGAGACACGTGGAGTGGTAGTCGGTGATGGGTAGGGATGGCAATGGGGCCTCGTGGGGGCGGGTAATAGTAAACCTGCCCCCGCCTTGCCAGATGAAAATTGGTCCCATACCTACCCCATATCTGCGCGGGTATCCATTAAGCGAGTATCCATGAATTTCTTAAATACCCACGGATATTCATGGATATCCATGGATATTTATAATTTTTTAATAAATTAAAAAAATTATATTATAAATAATTTTAAGTTTATATTTAATGTCATTAAAATATTAAAAAATAAAAATTCATTGTTAATTTTGAACTTGTATTTAACGTTAATTTTGTTGAAATAATAATAAAAATGCAAGATAATTAATAACTTAATATACATTAATCTCACAAGTTAAATTCTCATCACAAAACTACAATAATTCAATCTCATAATTTCAAATGAAAGTAAATAACTTACAATGCATAAATTTTATTGGTCCAATCAAAGCTAGAAAATCAATCAAATTACATCCAACATAATTCTATAACATGCTTAACACATGTTGGTAACTTCATCAACATCACTTTTGTAAGAAAATAAGATGAGAGAGTATAGTTTTAGGGTTATGTGGTACAAAAATATTATTAAAAGGGTACCCGCGGGTATGGATATCATCATACCCACCCCCGCCCTATTTATAAACGGGTAAAAAAATATCCGTCCTCATTCTCTGCGGGTATCCAATTAACCTATCCATTTATTATTCGTAACGGGTTTTACCCGCAAATACCCGCGGGTGCGGGTATTTTTGCCATCCCTAGTGATGGGTAATGCTGAGTGGTGGTTGATGATGGGGCTCTTGATTATGGTCATGTTGATGAAACAAAGACTTGACGGTGGCTAAAGGAGGTCTGCAGTGCGATAGGTACTATTCACCTTGTGAAAGTGTGTGCACAAAGGCAAATAAAAACCTAAATCACTAATACCATAAAGAAGAATTGCAGGAATTGTGTTTCATGATCCACATATATTCTACTTTATTTATATTTATAATGAATTACAATCAAGGATATTAGGAAAGAAAATTAAGAAAAGGATCCGTAATTTCGAATTTTTAGCTTTAAATATGTTTCATATTTTTAACACCTATTATTTGAAAGAAATCAATCACTCAAGTGAAGGAAATGCTGGATTCTAATGATGATTATTTCTTTCATGGATCTTATGACTTGTCTATCGTTTTCTTCCTAGGATAAATTAGTCCATATATTCCTTATCCTTATAGTTTTGAAAGATGGATTAAATATGTTTTTTGGTTTCCAAACTTTTGTCAATTTTCACTTTTAGTCATGAATTAATTTTATTTGATTTTAGTCTCTAAATTTTTCTTCATAAACAAAAAATCTTGACGCCAAGGTCCAAACATGTTAACAAGAGGAAAAGTTCAAGGATTAACAACGAAAATTGACAAAAGTTTAGGGACTAAAACTGTTAAAAAAAAATTTCAAGGACTGAAAGTGAAAATCAACAAAAGTTTAAGGAATAAACATTTAATCCATTGAAAGATTTTAACAGAATCCCTGTACTTCAACCTTTTTTTTATTTTTCAAAAATAATTCTTTATTAGCTAATGGTCATTAAGACCCATTTAACAATTTATTATTTGCTAAATTATAAAGACTTATTTGAAAACTTAGATAACATTGGTGTTTTATTTGACACTCAGCACAATTTAATGAATGTTAGACTTTATCTGTGTTTTCTAATAGGTATTTATAATTTAGTGAAAGTTTTAATGGCTGCCAGTGAGTACGACGTATTTAAAAATGAACAGAAATACAAGGACTCTGTTAAAACTTTAAAAATTGGAATCTATTTGAAAATTTGGTAAAATTATAAAGACCTAACAAATAATTTAACCTTTGAGGGTGGGGGAGGTACATTGGAGGAATAAGCGCCTATTTTGGGGATGAGAGCTGGTGTTTCATGCACCGAAGTCTATTTGAGCTGTGTCTATTGAGCTACAAGCTCTTTGGCTCTTTATTGCGTGTTTTATAGCGCAACTACAATAATATATGACCATTTTTCTAATAAATTCTGCTGTAACGCGTGTCATGGGCTTTTTATGTTTAGATCAACTTGAGTCATTGTCCCTTAATTTTTTCCAGTTAAGAAGTTTTGATGAGTGTTGTGATTATATCCATATAGAAAACATGAGGAATTTTGGTGTTTTTATATATTTACATTTATAGATTTAGTGGTGTTGACAATTTTGATATTTATATATCTGCAGACATCTAGAAATATCCTTGGAAATGCTATTGAAACTGGTCAGAATATTTGGTTCAGTAATCTATTCAACTCTATCAGCTACGCAACCCGTTGGTGTCGATATTGAGGCAGAGAAAAGGTGTCAGATCTTCAAGGCTTTTCATATATATATATATATATATATTAATACATTGCTTATGTACTCATTCATTTTTTGCTTGTTAATGAGGTTCAGGCTAGAACGTTGCAACCTCTGCTTCATAGAGCTTGAAAAAGTCAAACGTCTTTTGCCTTCTCTTTCAAGGTATTCAAGATTATTTATTTGGCTTTTTCCAAAAAATATTTTCCTTTTATTTGAGCTGCTTTTGGCAATTCTAGTAGTAGAAAACAGTTTCAAATATTTTAGCATGAAATCCTCGTAAGTAACCTAGAAACATTAATATTTTGTGTTAGAATAGTGGATTAAGCCTAACTCAACCCTACAAAACCGGCTTGTAAGGTGAGGGTTGTTTTCCACTTATATACTATTCAATTGCTTAATCTCTAGTCGATGTGGGACTTGGGTTTTTCCCAATACACCCTCTCACGTCCAGCACTATTGAGCTTGGTACGTGGATAAATGGTAGGTGGCCCTTTTTTAATGATCTAGGATTGGCGGGACTTGGGTTTTTCCCAATACACCCCCTCATGCCTGTGAGGCATGCATCAATGGTGGGTGGCCCATTTTTAAAGTGGATCTAAATGGCTCTGATACCATGTTAGAATAGTGGATTAAGCCTAACTCAACCCTACAAAACCGGCTTGTAAGGTGAGGGTTGTTTTCCACTTATATACTATTCAATTGCTTAATCTCTAGTCGATGTGGGACTTGGGTTTTTCCCAATATTTTGAAAGCTCAAAAGGCACTTTCAAGTAACTGAGGTTCAATGAGTTGATATATTAGGGTTATTTAGAATTTCTGGTGCTAATTTCTCATTATTTGTTTTCTCATGACCTGTAGAAGAGGAGGATCAATTGCAAAATCTGCACACGAGTTAAATCTGGCTTTGCAGGATGTTTCGTGATCCTGTCCTGATTCAATTATTTCTGCTGCTGATGTTTTGCCGGTGCTTTTGGGGGGTTTTGTGCATTTTAAAGATTTAAACCTCTACACAAGCCATCGAATAGTTTTGTGCAATGTCATTTGGCGTCGAATGAAGCCTTTTCTTGTATGTACATTTATTGGTGTTAAAATTCATGGTAGTGGAGGCACTGATAACTGCTAATTCCGAGACGAAAGCCAAAGCTTGAGACATGTCACCCTCTGCTGATGGTTGCACAGCGCTGACTATAACCTGTCGTCATCTGCTTAATGTGAAGATCTCAGTCCGTTGGACAACTAACCTAATATGTGGCATAACATACTACTGCCTGTCTAATCTTATTTCAAAATTTCATGATTTTTGTTATGGCGCTTTAAGTGCCGTTATGCATAGTGAGTGGCGCCGTTCATATTTCTATTTGTTGCATATTCTTGTATGATTTTCTTTCAATGCTTTTGGGGAAATATGACGATGGATTAGTGTCTTGTAGCTACACAGCTTTGCCAAATGATATGGTATATTCAATTTCACGGACTATCTACGCACGAATTGTTGGGAGTTCCTATATTTTACGTATTTACAAAACGGGCTCTCATTCTAAAGTTATTCAGACTAATATTTTGTACACGTGAGTTTGATTTATAATAACAGAAAATCGCCTAAATTTCAGAATTGAATTTTTTAGAGTTAAAAATTAAATAAAAAAACAGAAAACAAATGGGCTTATATGTATGAAGCGTTGAAAATTTACCACTTTTTTCCTTTCAATTTTTTTTTTCTTCTCACGGGATTATTTCAATGGCAGATTGCTATCGATCTCAACATTTGCACAAGTTTAGCCGTATAAATTGATTAAATTGTTTTAGTTACTCTCCCTTTATTAAGGGCAGTTTATTAACCATTTGATAAATATACTTAACCATCAAATCATTCATATAAGAGGAATGTTAGGATACGTAATCTTAGGAGCTCTGTAAGGGTTTGAGAGTTGAAACACCTCATAGGACATTTGAGGCAAGAAGATTTGTTTCAAAGGAGCTAAAAGAATGTTATGACTGAGCTAGGAGCTCAAACAAATGATGAGACGAATGACTTTCTCGAGGAAGATACGAAGGATATAATCGACAACCAATTTAAAATATTTAACAACGTTTCAATATTCATTTTAAACTATTTTAAGATTATTTACAAAAAAATTTAAAAAGCAATTAATATATGGGTATAAATCTATTCTAAGATCCTTCCATCTTCTCTTATTAATCATCTTCATGTCAGCTGTTTAATTGTAAATGTTTTTTGTTTAAAAGAAATTTACTAAAATTTCAATCCAATTAACATGTGATTTCAGTCTTATGTAAAACTTATTATAAGCTTCGGCAAAAACAAGACAAATTATAAATATATTTGTATATTTTAATTTATTTATTCTCTTAATGGTATATTTTAAATTTTATTTGTTGCATTAATGAAAAATGAGACACTAGAAGATAAGTTTTAAATTGTAGATATTGAAATAAATAATGTTGTAGCACTTGAAAATAATTTACTCCCTAGCATAAAAGCCACAAGCGATTGTAGGCCTGTCTTTTGGGAACTGCTGCACACACAAAACACTAATTTGGAGGCAACCCCAACGCAGGACTTCTGATTCAATTCATGACTTTTCTATTCTGAGTCAATCAACTCTAAAGCCTCGCCCTTTTTATTTTGTTTGTCCATGCCTGAATGATACAAAAGAAAAAACATTTATTACTTGTGTTTTAATTTGACATGTATAAGCTGCAAATTTATTCAACATGTTACATAACCAACGAGGTTAAAGACTGTCATCTATATGGTAAAGTCCACTATTCCTCCTGCCACATAATAAAATGGCGAAGTTAAAGACATCAGATTTCACCACAAAATAACCCCTCACCATCATAATTTGCTGACATAAAGTGACTGTTAACACATGCTTATATCATTTGTAGAAAATATCTAGACACTTTCCTTAGGCGTGTTTTCCTGGCCAACATGAAATGTCAAAGTCTTAGACTCACTTCTCCTTAGCTAGTGCATAGTATATTCGCAGCAATTTCAAGCATACTCACACGAGTAGATGCTGCATTAATATTTATATTTATCTACCTTCTTTAAGCGGTAGTAATTCACACACATTTTTTATTACCTATACGGGTCCAAAATCACCTTCACCAATCTTATTGTGTATGAGCAAGGCATTAGTGGCATCACTAATTGTTTGAGGGCCAAGCAGATGACATCCAGATCATCCACATATGTTAAATTATGATGCAAATTCTAGAAAAGAAAAAGAAAATTCTAGAAACATAAGATAAGATGTATAAGAAAGAAAAAGATAATTCTAGAAACATAAGATAAGATGGATAAGTCTCTAGAAAAAATTAAAAGAGTGTAGAGACTTGAAGAGTCTAGAAAATTCTAGATATTTCCACCATCATCTAGAGATGGAGCACCATGCATATAAATAGACAAATTAGAACTTCATTGTAACAAAAACAATTACCACCGCTACTACTACTCTCTAAATACAATAAGTTTATATTATTCCACCAACTATTCCCTTGACAACTATTATATACTAACAGTGGTACCAGAGCTACGTTCAGTCATCTACTGAGCGTAGAAAAATCACCCAACTACTTCTAAAATTCCCTTATATATTTATAAACATTTTTCTTTGATCTATGGCCTCCAATACCATTAATTTTTCATCTGTCCCTTTACAAGTTTTTACTAGTGAAAATTTTGATCTTTGGAAGCTCAAACTAAAGACATATTTTATTTCACAAAACTGTGGGATATCGTTTAGTCTGGTTATACAAAACCAAATAATACTATCACTCTGTCTAAGGAGGAGCAGAAGAAGTTAGAAGATTGTGAACAAAAGGATGCCCAAGCCCTGTTTGTTATTCAACAAGTTGTGAGAGAAACTATCGCCAGACGGATCATGGATGCAAACACTACAAAAAAGGCATGGGATATTTTGGAAGAAGAATTTGAAGGCAATGAATAGGTACGCTCCGCCAAATTACACTATCTAAGAAGAGAATTTGAGACCATTAAAATGAAGGAATCCGAGACCGTAAAAGAATACTATGGAAGAATAAAAGAAATAGTTAATAAAATAAATTATATGAAAAGAAATTAAGGAGAAGAGAGTGGTAGAAAAAATTCTTATGACTCTCACGAAAAAATATGATTCCATTGTAGCTTCCATAGAAACTTCCTCGGATCCATCTTCTCTATCGGTGAATAAATCAATTGGTCTCCTCGGAGCGCACGAAACAAGATTAAATAGTTGTGTCAATATAAATTCAGTTGAAAATGCATTTCAATCAAAGCTTAAATTAGAGTTTTAAAATAAAGAAGATGGAGGAAAGAAAAATGCCAGAGAATATTCTAGAAACAAAGATTCTAGAAATTTCTCTAGAAACAAAAAGGATAATATCCTGCGTGTGGTATTTGTAATAAGCTAGGACATGCAAAAAAAGATTGTTGGCATCGTGGGAAGCCAATATGTCATTACTACAATAAACCCAGTCATGTGGAGAAGTACTGTCGTAACAAAAATAAACATCAAGCAAATTTTTCTGAAGAGCATAATCGAGAGCAACATCTATTCTATGCTAACCAAACCTTGCATTGAAGAACATATGTGCTGCCAAAAACACTGAAAGGAATGAGGTAGTTTATTTTGAATGTAATTGAATTACTCAAGTTGTTAATGATGTTTCTTCTGTTAGGAATTTTATCATGAATCACTCAATGAGATTGGCAATTTTTAATCACTTCTCTCCTCTAAAATTGCTTGCTATAGCTGAAACACGCTTTGCATCTATTCTAATGATGTTAAAGAGATTTAAACTTTTGAAAGGTGCTTTGCAATTGATGGTTATTAGTGAAGAATGGAACTCTTATAAAGAAGATGATGTGGGTAAAGCCCAAGCTGCAAAAGAATTTATTTTGAATGATATGTGGTGGGACAAAATTACATATATTTTGAATTTCACTGAGCCTATTTATAGTATGCTTAGGTCTTGTGACACAGATAGTCCTACACTTCATTTGGTCTATGAGATGTGGGATAGTATGATAGAAAAAGTAAAGATATCTATATATAGATATGAAGGAAAAGAGCTAAATGATACATTAATTAACATTTTATGAAGTTGTTTATTCTATACTAATTGATAGGTGGGCTAAGAGTTGCACCCCTCTCCATTGCATGGCTCACTTGTTGAATCCTAGGTAAAATTAGCCTATTAAATATTTATTTATTTTTATTATTTATTTATAAATAATTTGATAGTTACTAAATTTTTTTATCTATTAACTTTTTTTATTTATTCACATGTACTACAATGATGAATGGCTTCAAGAGGCTCCAAATAAAATTTCCCCACATGAGGATGAAGAAATTTCTATGGAAAGAAATAAATGTTTAAAAAAGCTTTTCACAACAGTTGAAGAAAGAAGAAAGGTTTCTCTTGAATATGCTGATTTTTCATCAAAAGCCCGTAATTTTGTTTCTTTTGACTCAATTGAAGATAGATGGACATTAGATGCTAAATCTTGGTGGGTAATGCATGGTTCTTCTGCCTCTCTCCTTCAAAAGCTTTCTTTAAAGCTTCTTGTACAACCTAGTTCTTCAACTTGTTACGAAAGGAATTGAAGTACTTATTCCTTCTTTCACTACCTGAAAAGAAATAAGTTGAATCCTGAAAAAGCAAAAGACTTGGTTTACGTACATACTAATTTGTGACTCTTGTCTAGGAAAAGTGAATATATGCAAGGGAGTACTAGAATGTGGGACATTGGTAGAGATGCATGGGGTAGCTTTGATGGTGTTGAAAATCTTGAAGTGGCGTCATTATCTCTTGATGAACCTGAAATGGAAGTTGTCTTATTTACAGATGATGGTCAAGGAGGGGATGAAATTGATATTATTCCTATTTCTTAGCAATAAAATGATTTATAATTTTTTTAGTAATGTTTAAAAATTAAAAAGCAAGAAATGTATTCTTAATTTTGATTGTTGAACTTGCAATGTGATGGAGCGCTAACCAATAGACTCTGAAGCTTTCTAGCAATGTCGCTACAATCCGTGTTGTCCTCAAAGATGATGAGAGAAAATAAAATAACAAGCCATTTTGTGAAGGATTGAGTGCAGAAACTCACATATGCAACATATGTGCTGGAGTATATCTAGGATGAATGTTCAATTCAATCCAAAAAGGTGCAAACTGATGGACAAAATTCAAGCTTAGCTTGTCACCATCCTAAGAACATTTTCTTTCGTTCTCGTATTGGCATGATGATGAAAAATATCACTCAAGATTTCATGACATTTATGAAGAAAGTGTTGGGATACAAACAAGTCCCACATCGATAAAATAAGAAAAGATATAATAACTTATAAAACACACATATTCCAACGATTAAGATTAAGAAGTTGTATGAAGAAAAGTATTCATAGAAGCCCAAACACTATAGCCCCTCACCTTTCTATAAAACAAAATACTAAT